GAGAGAGAGAGAGAGAGAGAGAGAGAGAGAGAGAGAGAGAGAGAGAGAGAGAGAGAGAGAAGCACCTCCTGCGTACTTCATGTGCTTTACATATGAGGGAGGGTTGACTCTGACTCTGACTCTGACTCTTCGTTAAGGGGTGTTTACTGACTTTGGACGTGGGAATAGCATGATTAGGCCAGAGCTGTAGGAATGGGCAAACGGAATTATAAGGAATATAGGGCGAGTGGATAGTTTGGGATGGGGATAATGTTTATGGCACGGGCGTAAGAAGGCAAGAGAGAGAGAGAGAGAGAGAGAGAGAGAGAGAGAGAGAGAGAGATGCTGAGTGATCCGATTCGGGCCGACATGGGAACGAACATTCAACTCAGGCAGAGACTGCCACATGTCGGCCCATCGAGATACCGACCGACACACTTTCTTTACCTGGCACAAACTGCATACTTACTGAGTGACCAGATACCTGAAGGAGTCCGAATGTCGTAATTGAGTCCTTTTTTTTTTTTTTTTTTAATGATAACTAGTACCACTGTCTGGCCCAAAAAAAAAAAAAAAAAAAAAAAAAAAAAAAAAAAAAAAGATCTACTGCCCGGTTTCACCGTCCTAGTATTCTAGCACACTACTGCCCCATGGTAATCCCAGCCAATCCTTCAAAAAACAAAACAAAAAAAAAATCCCAACCAATCACTCGCATGGTACAGATGTTCTGCTGTCCATGCTCTGGTCCTTTTTTTTTTTTTTTATGATTACCATGCTCTAGCATTGCCGCCCTGCTATCCTTTCTTTTCCTTTTTCTCTCTTTGTTTTTGCCTTCCTTTTCTTTCTTTCTTCCTTTCCTTTCTTTCTTCCTTTTCTTTCTTTCTTCCTTTTCTTTTCTTTCTTTCTTTCTTTCTTTTTTTCTTTCTCTCACTGATCTGCCTCCAAAAAAAAAAATCCCAACCAATCACTGTTTTTCGCCGCTCCGCGATGATCGGCTGCACACAAGCATTCGCCTTCAACTTTCCTAATTAGTCAAAAATCAGTTACAAGAGGAGGAGATGGAGCGAGGAGGGAGGCTGAGGGGAAGCAGGTACTTACAAGGTTGTTTCTTCGCATGGAGGTCCTCCTTCCTCTCTTTCCGCCATAGCCATGGCTATCGTCTCTCTCCGCCATAGCCATGGCTATCGTCTCTCTCCGCCATAGCCATGGCTATCGTCTCTCTCGGCCGAGCACTCAGATCGACACCAGAGGAGAGTTCCAACGCTGTGTGAAGAGGATCTTCCACGGCTTTCCTCTTCCCCGTAAGACAATGGATTGACTTGCAGCCCTGATCATGAATGCATATGAATGTATAGTAGCTATCTTTCCGGTCCTATACAGGCATGAAGAGTGTGCGTGGTGTATTCGGGGCAAGGACGGGCACGGGGGGAAGCAGAGACAGACATATATTATCCGATTCTGCGACCGGTCGCCCTCGCAACACTCGATCGAGCAGCTCCTGCACTTTGAGTGCATAGTGGCCTCGCCGTACTGCCGGTAGTCACCAAATGTGCAAACTGGATGACGTTTTCTCCCGCTAAAACGTGGACAGGTACACCCGCCATAGTTTTTGGCCTTTTCACATTTGCTGCGCGGTGCCAAGGTCGCCCAAGTCGAATGGCTGAACTACCGTCTTCCCCCGAACACAACGCACCCTCATTATGACTGTACCCGACCGGAAACATTGCTTGCATACGTTCATTGTCAGGGTGCGTTGTGTTCGGGGGAAGACGGTAGGTGGGAGTTGTGTCTCCCCCTCTTCGACCTCCGCACAATCGGCAGACTAACGACCTCCGTGGCCAACAAGAAAGAGAGAGAGAGAAAGGAGATCGACTGGAGGGAGGAGGAGGAGGAGGAGGAGGAGGAGGAGGGAAGGAGGGGTAGGAGGAGGATCAGGAGGAGGAGGAGGAGGAAGAGTAGGAGGAGGAGGGAAGGAGGGGTAGTGGGAGGAAGATCACGAGGAGGAGGAGGAGGAGGGGGGAAGGAGAGTATGGGGACTTGGCTTGCCATGGTGAGAACGTCAGTGGATGGTTTAGGGAAGACAGATACAGCTGCTGAGGCAATCCTGACTAGATGCATGAGGATGACGGGAGGAACGCCGGGAACAAGGGAAAGAAGCCGCTAGCGGGCGATGGGTGGTCCCAGCTGTGGCGGTCCCGCGGGTAAGTGTGTCAAAACTACTCGTTCTGGCGATGGACTCGGACTCGGACTCGGACTCGTCGTTTGCAGTGAATCGTCTCGTCTCTCTTGTTGTGGCTTAGGACCTCGATCGACACACCACTGTCGAAATGTGAAAAATACAAAAAATTGGTGGGTGCATCTGGCCATGTTCTAGCGGGAAGTTCATTCTCATTTTGCACATTTCGGAAGTGGTGTGGCGAGGCCCTGACTACTGTTGTGATCCCTACTTCTACTACTGACACTGCTGCTGGGCTGCTGGGGTTCAGACAGCAGCGTAGTCTACGGATGGATGGATGAATGGATGGATGGGTTATTTTGGCAGAGGGCCACGAGCTACTACTTTCCTGTGTAAAGCCTGGGTGATTTCCTGAATGGATGGATGGGTTATTTTGGCAGAGGGCCACGAGCTACTACTTTCCTGTGTAAAGCCTGGGTGATTTCCTGGGACTCCCCTACTTCCTTCCCTGTGCAAAGTGGGGTGATTTTCTGGGACTTGGGCCTACTCTCCACATGCACAAAAGACAAAAACGACGGAAATGTATCTTTCCATGTTCTAGCGGTAGATTCAGTCTCATTTTGCACATTTGGAGAGTAGTGCAGCCAGGCCCTTAGTGAATGATTTTATTTTATTTTATTTTTCGAAAAGGCACATTCCATTATATTTCAAATCATGAAAAGGTGAAATTGCAAGAAGAGGGGCGCGGCGGACGGCGCTTGAGCGCTCCAAGTTAGCGCTACCGGAGGTAAGCCAGTCCGGGCCTTCGCGGTGTTGGCACCACCAGGATGCCATCGCGAAAGCGGAGTCGTCCTGTCCGAGCAACCAACCCGGAGGGAAAGGGGACGTGAGGCCGCGTGGTCCGGCCTGTTACAGAGCCACAGTGTGAAGACCTCACGAGAAGTACGAGCAAGTCGGGTTCGTAGAGTTCACGTGTACAGTCAACGGGGCGTGCGCCGGCTAGGCGCCCGCCGTTGAAGCGGAATTTTCATCAAAGGAGTAGGGCTGAAGTTAAGGTGGTAGGTAGAGATGGGAGATCAAGAGGAGAGATTGGTGGTTCAACAGTCGCAGGCGCACCGGGAGGAACGAGGACCGCCGGGAGCAGAAGTTCAAATGTCAGACGAAGATCGGATCAGAATACTTATAGCCAAATGCTACGAGGATGGAGTGTTCCCAAAGAGAATGAGACATGGGGAATTTGTGATAGAGAACGGCACCCGTGTTTTCAAGATCAACCCGCAAATCGACCGTCTCACCACGGCCTGGTTGAAAGAGCGTACAGCTACGGTTATTTTCCACGGAGCTGCACGAGATCTACCGATGAGGACAGAGTCGAGTACAAAATGCTATTCAAACCCCGGATGACGAGGGTGGAGTTGGACAAGCGAAGAAGACAGGAGGAGGAAACAAAGTTTTGGGTGATAGCACTCCGAGTTCCTCTGCCTGCAGTGTTTCATGTTCCGGACCTGGTCCGACAAGCAATGGGAGCAATCATTTTGCAGCACCCGCTGGAGCCAGATGCGGCTAGACCAAAGTTAATGCAGCTGAAGTTTGAATTGGTGAGAGAAGTTGAGGAGAGGTTTGAACCCACTTTAGTTATGAAGCTAGAGGATGGGGAGCTGTACAATGTGGAATTTGTATGTAAGAACACTCCATGGTGCAACGGATGCCGATGGTGGTATCATACGGAAACTGACGGGTGCCCGAGGGCAGAGGAAGAGGACGGGAAGGAGGGGTATGGGCGAACAGGTGGAGGCGATCGGAATCGCAACCGAAGATGGAACCAAGGCGAAATCGTGTTTCAGAGGGGGATAAGGGATGTGACCAGGGATGTTGCTACCCGTCGGGAAGAAGAAGGTGGTTCGAATACGGAAGGAGGTAGAGGAGGGGACAACCGCCTCCGCCCAGCGGGCTCGACGACGCAGGGGAGCAACCCCAGCTGGGGGGCAATCCTTATGGTTACTGGTCGGGATCGGGTTTCCACCGGTTGCAGATAACTTCTCACCAACCCCTGTATCAAGGCCAGATACCAGGCGCAGGGAATGCAGGACTAGTGCTGGGACAGGTCGGAGCTCTGACCGTGCACCACCATGTGATGGAGGCGCGAGCAATTAAAGAGGTGGTAGTTGACCGTCAGGGCCCCCACAACCAAGAAAGAGGACAAGCCAACTCCTCTCAACGCTCAAGCGGAGTAGCGGGGCTGGCCGGAGGTGCGGAAGTGGAAGGGGAATATAGGATCCCAGAGGGCGTGGAAACACGAGGGGAGGATCATGAATTTGAAGAAAAGTTCATCCTTCCTCTGGTCTGCACCATGTTGGGGCAGGAAGCCTTCGTCCTGGGGTTAATACACAGGAACGGGAAAACCTTCCTGCCATCAACCCCAATTTGTGGGATTCCTAGTCCAGACTTAGTGGAAGCGAGTGTAAAACAACTGTATGCGGATAGATTCTGCTTCCGACAGTTTCAAGAAGTTCTGGTCCCTAAGATCACAATCGATACACCGACGGGCATGCGGATCAATTTTTTTATTCCGTTGATAGATGCGCGCATCCCCGTAGAGCATTGGGCAGGGCTTCCTTCAGTGGGGTTAACATGCATACCGCTTCGAGTGCTGTTGGAGAAAAGCTTAGCGGAATTGTCCAGTGTTTTGGTGGAACCAGGGGTGGCGGCGGATTTCCTGAAGGCTCTGAATGAGAAGATGCCGATGGACAAAAACTTGGAAGCAAGGTATATTCAGGAGGTGCTGCAGGAGAAATGACAGTGTGTGTCTCCGCCGCCGGGGGAAGTTCCACGAGAGAGAGGTACCATTGACCGTATCCAAGAAATTAACGCTCCACAAGGGCCCAATGGTCAGAATTAAAGTAGCGACATGGAACGTGAAGGGGTTGGGGGACACGAGAGGAAAGCAGAAAGGGAGGAGACTCAAGTCATGGGTGCATGAAAATCGGTGGATGTCGTTTTTCTGCAGGAAACGAAACTGTCGGAAGCAAAGCTGGCACAACTGAGGGATTGGTGGGATGGACCCCAGCTATGGTCGCCAGCGAGAGGGTCGAAGGGGGGAACAACCATTCTGCTCCACATAAGATTAGATGCAGAACTAATCGATTTTGATGCAGACATGTGGGGGAGATGGGTGTGGCTTAAACTGCGGTGTGAAGGCCTAGAGGTGGTGGTGGCTACGGTCTAGGCACCGAACGAATCACAAGAGAGGGTGGACTTCTTCAAAGCATTACCGTACTGTTTGCTTAAAGCGGAACACATGATATCAAGGGGAGATTGGAACCAAGTGTTCCACCCAGGGCTGGACTCACAAGCAGAGGAGGGCATGCGAAGGGATAGGGAGGCGCTGCGGAAGTGGAAGGAGGCTTGGGGCCTACAAGACATCTTCATAACACTGCACCCAGTTAGTTTTTGGGTCTACATAGTTTGCGTGCATTTCCAATGCGGCCGGAGCCAAACGCAGACTGGACTTCTTCCTTACGGCTGGCATCTTCTCAGAGGGAGCTCAGGATGTGGGGGAACAAAACGAGTCCATGTCGGATCATAAACCGGTGATCCTGGAGGCACAGGTGTCAGAGCATAACAGGAGAGGGCCAGGGTACTTTAAACCAAACATCCAGAACCTAGAGGACGAGGGCTGGCGAGAGTGGGGAGAGAAGTTTTGGAACGATTGGCAGGCAGCGAAGGAAGAGTTTGCACAATATCAAGAGTGGTGGGATGCGGGCTTGAGGATTATCTCAGCAAAGTTTGAGGTTTATTCAAGGATAGCAGCCTTCAGCAGAAACAAGGAGGAGGCGGACAGTCGCAGGAAGGTTGACGAGGAGGAAAGAAGAATGGGGGAGCACCCCATTTCCGATTGGGTGTGGGCGGAGGAAAGGGCACAAAGGTTAAATGATTGGGAACAGATGCAGGTCACCGTGGCGAAACAAGCAAGATGGCAGGAAATACTGAAAGAGAAAGGGATCGTCAACAGCGACATAATGACTAGAGAGACATTCCAAAGGCTGCTTTCCAGACAAAAGGTGGCGCAAATGAAGGAATTGCAACACCCCCACCTGCTGGGAAAGCCACGGGCAACCACCAACGAGGATATGTGTGAGTACACGACCGATTACTTCAAGGATATTCTGACGACAAGGAAGACATTCTGGAACTGGAAAACGGATCTGACGGAAAGCTCCAACTTTTGGGACTCACTGGAGGTCCGGCTTCCAGACAGCGGAAGACTTCAACTAGACAGACCGGTGACGGAGGAAAAACTCAGGCAGACACTGAAAGCGATGGCTAAAGGGAAGGCACCGGGGGACAACTGCCTACCGGTGGAGTTCTTCCAAGCCTGTCGGCCGACGCTAGAGGAGGACATGGTTAACCTCTTCAACGGAATCTTGACTGGAGGGACCTTGGGAAAAGCTATGACGAATGGGGTGATTTCGTTGTTGTACAAAAAGGGCGATCGGAGCAACGTACGGAACTGGTGGCCCGTTTCACTATTGAACGTCATCTACAAAATCCTAGCGAAGACCTTGGCCAGGAGACCGGTGTCGGCGCGAATACCCTGACAAGGGTATCCGCCCTTGTTTTTGCAAGTGACCGGAAGTACGAGTAGAGGTCTAAAGTATACTGCGCGAGACGCGCCTAGGTCTGTTTGGTTACGTAGGTAAGTTGCTTGATTAGAGTAGAGCGGGTGTGGGCGCGCGGGATTAAGGCGCGAGTGTGATTTTTCTACTTTGGATTATGCAACCGGCGTAGTTGGTCGGCCTGACTCTGGCTACTAGGAGTCAGGGGTGCCCTTGGCACGGATAGGTGACCGTTGGTAGTCTAACGTGCGAATTAGGGTGCGGGGCGGCCACGACGCAAAGAGGGCAACCCGGCGTAGGAGCCTAGCAGTAGCGTGTCTAATGGGAGGTAGGCATGAGGCCTGGGGGCTGCGCCGCACCTATTCATATGGAATACCGTGCTGGCCAATACCAGGCCTGGGCTTAACCCTATAGGTTACAGTGTCGGACTGTTATAGCGGAGGTACGGGGGTCGAGGCCAGCAGGCAGCAAAGCGGAGCAGCGGAGTAGCGTGAAGAAGGCCGAGGGGGTAAGGGTGCCCCGGGACTATCCCTTTTAGTTTTGCTGAGGGGAGTCCAGCCGCGGGCCTGTGAGGCTGGGACTATGTACAATCGGCCCCCCTCCCCCGTTCGTGTTTTCTTATTTTATTAATTTTTTATTTTTATTTTTATATTTTATATTTTTATTTTTATATATACTTGTTTTTCTATTCCTACCTTTTTTTTGTCTGCGCTTGGATGAGGCTGGTGCCGGGGCCGGGGCTTGTTGAGAAGCCCAGCAACCTAGTCCTGTGGATACAGCCACGGGCTGCTGGGGCATCTGTGCTCTGAGGCCGTGGTCCTGCGGGACATCCGTTAGAATTGGAACGATACAGAGTAGATTAGCATGGCCCCTGCGCAAGGACAACATGCATAAAGCCGGGGAGCGGCCGGCCTTGCTGTTCGGTTGTGGCATACGCGGGCTGTCGCTGCTGCGCTTCCGCTCGACCAAACCACTAGGCGCTGCGCTATGAGAGCAGGCAGGGAATGGCGACAGAGGGGGGAGAGAGAGAGAGAGAGAGAGAGAGAGAGAGAGAGAGAGAGAGAGAGAGAGAGAGAGAGAGAGAGAGAAGTGGATAATGATTCGACCAAAG